AGCTCAAAATTATCTTCTAGTTTCTTCATTCCTCATCAATTCCTAAGCCAATAATAGGCTAGCAATGAATGTTCAACTAATAAATGTTAATTATGGGAATTGATATTCTGTCAGCTGTGAATCTAACCTGGATAGTGTCGAGTCCAATGGTGGCGACTGCAGATCCAAAAAGGATTGATAGAACAGTAGCAAACCGGTAAGATGTATATTATATTAGTGCAAAGTACAATTCAAAGAAACATAACTTACAACATTAATGCAGTAAAGTGTACCTGAAATGTTTCACTCTTAGCATTTTCTAGAATTAAAGCTTAACTTCAAGCTCACGTAAAGAATTGACGATGTCAATTTTCAAAGAATTCAGATGAATATATCTTCCATGGATGATTTTTAACTGACTATGAAGAGTTAGCCCTCCCTTTAGCTTCAAATTGCTCGGCAAAAATGTTCCGTTGCGAATCACAATGAGATTACGTAAAAGTACTGACGTTACAGTGAAATCACCATGAAATTACTTGAAAATGTTTGTCATAATGACATAGGAAATAAAACGTATTGTTTAGAAAATTACTCAAAGAATTGCGGAAATCATGTCTTGGCTTGTCAACCATAAAATATATACAGCAGAGATAGTCATACTTTGTATTTTATGGAGCACTATCAAAGAACTTCTACGAAAAGAGATAAGATAGCAGCAGAATACTGCAAAAAATTGTTTTAAGTAGGACGAGAATAAGAGCTATTCAACCGCCGCTCCATTGATATTATCGACAAATGAACGTAGTCCTGTTGTCCAAATATATGAATAAGTAAAGAGGTGAAATAATCATCAATCTCGGAACTAGATTTGTATAATTCGTTAGATTATCTGTGATTGATTTATTAAAAGTACTTGAAATTTTGCAAAAAATTCTTGTCAATGCAATTTCTTCGCTTTCTTTACCGATGACGTTTAAGGTTGTATCCAACAAGTTATGTTTAGTTTAATAGTATTTCCAGATTTGTCTTTTTCTATTTGTAAAGTAAAAGTGTATGATTCACCTTCACTACGTGTAGTCTCACTCGCTTCGAGCCACGTCGCTACCACAGTTTGTCATAATTGCCAAACGAGAGTTTTCATATAGCGAATGGATGTTTTAATAGTTAGTATCAATAATTTAGAAAAAAATGAACTTCCTTACTTCGAGTTAAAACAGCACACAACCTTCAGAATTGACAACATCGAACGTTCTGACATACTGATACTCTCTATTTTCTCAAAATGATCATGAACATGATTAAAATGAGGGACAAATAGATTAGTTTTATGACACTGCGTATTTAAATTCCAATTAACCACAGTATATACCTAGGTTGATACAATACAAATAGTTATGAATTCATCCAAGTGATATCAAACTTACTTCAACACTTTTATATGGCTTA